AGGTGAGTGGACGGTGAGGGGTGAGTGGTGGGTGTGAGCGTGGGGTGGTTGAGCGGTGGGTTGCGTGAGCGTGTGGCGGTGGGCGGTGGGGCTTGGGAAGTGTACGTCGTGGACGGGGTGGGCGGTGCTGGTGAACGTGTGACGGGTGCGGGTGAACGGTGGGCGGGTTGAACGGGTGGGCGGTCCGTAACGGTGGGCGTGATCGAACGGGTGGTGCTAATGAAGGAAGTGGGAGGGTGGGGGGTGGGCCGTGAGCAGTGGCAGTGGGTGGTGGGCGGTGGGCGTGGCAGCTGACCCCGTGCGACGTGCTGCGCGTGGCCGATGAGGACGTGGCCGACTCCCTCTGAAGGGAAGAGGCCTGAGCGCACGTCGCTCGCACTAGTCGACTTGGCTCAACTCCGCTCTCTTGCCCGGACACTGGATCCGCGGCTCGCGACATCCGCGCGTGATACGTGTCTGTTCGGGCTGATCACTGGGTCTCTGTTTTCACCCAGTTACTGATTTCTGTGATCTTGGAATGTAATATTCCGATTGTTGCGATACTAATCTTGTTGAGTATTTATTGATTCCGAGCACATCAGCTACTTAGGTCATTTGATTTGTAAGTGTAGTGTGAAGAATATCCCAGGTGGTAGTGGCTTGAAATCCATCGTGGTTGGAAGCATGGGTTGGGAATACAAAGTAATAGTAACAAATTAGATTTGTGTGTAGTAAAGAAATTGAACATTTTCATTGCTAAATGATATTGCATGATATGAATGATATTGAATGAAATTGCATTGCATGATAAACCGGCAGCATTTTACAGCATGCACTGTGTCTTACAGTATACGAAAAACTATTTTATTTGACACAAGTTCGATAACTTTGTGATCAGTGTAGTAGAATAATCGATCAACAAAAGAAAGTGATAATACTGTTAAGAGAAAAAGACGGAATGTTAGTTACATTAACTCTTTAATTCTTTTGATTTTCGAAGTTGGTTATTCAGAAGAAATTTTTTACATTATTTATCTTTAACTGCTCATATTTCTTTTTTCTATGAGGTCAGTTTCAGAATATTTTATATGAATGTTGTCCTAATTCTGTTTCGTCACTCGTGTTAACAAGACAGAAGGTGTAAGTGTTTTTGCAAGTCATTATTATCTTGGCACAGATGTACAGTTTAACACAAACAATTGAATTACGTTTGAAATCCATCTTGCTCACAGTAAGTGCGTATTTTATGTCTAATCGCCATACAAGGCAAAAATTATGTATTAAAGCAGTGGAGGTATTTAATGATATTATTGATGAGTAAACTTGTAGTGACACGATTTTTTCGTGGATACACACACAATTGTTAGGAGAATAAACAATATAAAATAATTATGGAGATCTTCCACATCAAAACAAATTTTATGCGTCAATTGTTTCTCAAATTCTTTCTTTAATTTGCTTTAAGGTGGAAACTAAATGTTTTTATCACATTTTTAGTAGATTCTGATGAATTATTGTATTCAATTTACGACAAAAGTCAACTATAGAGAGATATTCTAGTACATCCTTCCCTGGTAATTAAATTCAAACAAAACAAATACCATATTCAGACGAAAAAGTTTTATCACTATAGAAACAATATTTTCCGTATAAAAGGTTAATAACGAGTGTACGAAAGGAATAGGTAAAAAGATATGATGATTTTACTTTTTTGTACTATGGACTTGGTAAACCAATGAAATTACAGCGGAAAGTGGCGATGTTTTCTCGAAAAAACGTGTTGACCTTATATCGAAAAAGTGAATAAATATTATTCCCCTATGTAGTAAATGACTTCCTCTATCCCATTGTCTAGTTAGTATCCACTTTTTATGAGCTCTAAATATCAAACAAATTTTTATACGACAAAACGTCTGTCTCTGCGTCCGTCTGTCTCTTCTTCTGAGGTCAATACAAGCATCTAAACTCTAAACCATTCTTATGGCTTTATCCAAAATTGATATTCCCGAAACAAACTGTCCGGCTCGGATATTTTTTATTTTTGAGAGCACTTTGCTTGAAATCTTCAGATTTAAAAATATAAAAAATTGCTACGAATTTTTTGAATATTTTTTCTTAGATAGAGGAAAGGACGCTTGGAAATGGCACACGTCTCGTTTCAATGAAAGTTTCCAAATTTTTGAAAATTGCAAAAGTAGAACATTTTGTCAGTTTTCCTACAAGTTCAATATAAAAAACAGAGGTTTTTACTCAAAGAAATTTGTTCTTCAGAGACAGATATCCAAATAAGGTAAGGTAGATTTTAAAAATATAAATAATTTTCTCGTTGTGTAAAGTAAAAGGAATGAAACTATTATCTCAAAAACAGGCTCTCACGTTTAGATCACTACATTTGAATACAAAGTTCGATGGGTCTGTTTCTCTCTTTGCAATTCAAATAAAATTGTGTTAACTTGAATACATTGAAGCCAATGAACACACTTTCAAACATGGTGCTCGATATGCACAAACCTGCAAACATCATGTCAATGTTTAGATCCCTCCTTCAGGCAGATTTGATCTCCTGTCTTCCACATTAGTATGTGGGAGTACGAAATACCTGCCTTAAATTGCATTTGTTGCAACATAGACATCGTCAGTCGCTTTATTACTAAGATTTATTTTGTTGTGATCGAAGTTGAAAATACATCGCTCGGTTACACAGCATTTTATAAGCCACAACACAAAATAATTCCAACAAATTTTCACAATTTTTCCGTGTAACTGGGAGATGTACCAAAGACCAGCAAACTCCGTTGCATGCTTTGTTGCACTGTTGTCAAACACTGATAACTCGCAAATCCATGTTTTTCACGATATACCAGCCTTTCCATGTTTTTGAAATATATTTTATTATCATTATTATTTATTCAATATCTGTCGTAACAATTTACCTGGTTGGATGTACTTTTATGTAAATAGAGCGCATGACTATGTTAAATAAGTTATATTTGATTAATATATTTATGTAATTTTGCATTTAGTTGGACCGGTGATGTTATTTTAAAGGGAAACGTCAGCCTACAGTGACGTGTAATATATTTGAACTCGCACATTTTAAACAAACATAGATTTTAGCTACACATAATTAATATGAGAATACAGGAATGGCCACGGAAATGTGGAACTTTGCTTTCTCGCAGTAAATATTTTGGTTCTATCTTTCTAATTCGGTCGAAATATGTTGTAACCTATCAACACAATTTCTTTTATTGAAACAAAAGTAAATTGTAACAGGTTGAATTAATTTATATAGAATCTTTAATAATCCATAGCATATTTATTATAAATTTATTATATTATTAAATTTCCCCTAAAGGTTTCTTCGAATTATGTTAAACTAAATGTGATCGATTAAAAAATTCAGGTATTCGGTGTTCCTTGCGTTGTTTCACTGCAATACATTTACCCATACTTTATTGTGAGAATCATTGAAATTTTGTCCTGGAATGAATTTCGGTTCCAAGCTTATCATCTTTATAAACTTGACCTTTGAAGAGAGTCACATTTACAAAAGTGATAGAAACGTTCCGACGTCATATAAATGTATACTTTCAAGTTTTATAATTGTAATGCAATTAGCCCTTCATTATTTCCATTTATTTTTCACAAGAGAGAATTTAAGGCAGTTATGATTCATTGCTAACACAAACATAACTGAGCGAAGTGTTGGAATTCATTTTGTTGCAAAATTGAATTTTAGTCGGTACAGTTGTAGTATGCCGGCTTAGGTGGACCAGGGCATCAATGATGTCATTGCAGTGCCTCTGATCGGGAGGTCCTGGGGTTCGAGCCCTGAGAATGGCAGATATTTGACACCAGGTAGAAAGCTAAGTCGAACACAGGCGTTGGGTGGAGGAGTATTCTAGCACCCGCTTCTCTGATCGGTAGTTTTCCTTGGTTGCTCAGTTCAACACCAGGCGAATGCCAGAGCAGTTCCTTAACAAACGGGTCACGGACCGCGCGCGATCTTTCCTTTCAATTCCTTTCACTCCTATTCTCACCCCTCACACACACACACACACACACACACACGTTTACACTAACATGCAGTACACTGCCACACATGTGTGGATCATAGAGCTTCTCCCGGATGGGACAGCGCCAACTTGTTGGAAAAACCCCACTAGCCGACTTGTAGGTCGGCGCCGGATTTAAACTCCAGCGGGGGAAGATCGCCGCCTCATCTCGCGATCAATTGTGCACTACAGTTACGGGTCTAATGACCTTAACGCCGTGAATCGATCTAGTACGTGCTGGTTAATTTGATAACAAGTGACAAACTGTTACAGCATTACGAATAAGGAAAGATTCGGATATAAACGTAATCCATATTCATGAAATGCATATCATTTTAAAGCATGGTTAGAAACATCACTAGGACTAAGTATATTAATATTATGTCCGTAATAGAGCCGTGACATCGGAATGGGGACAAAAAAAAGGCCGGCTCTCAACGTGTGAATCGGGCCTTGCAACTTTCTATCAAAACAGGGGAATAATTTCGAGGGTGCTACTCTAGGAGGCGCTAGTGTCGCCAGGTACAGCTGCAAATTACGCTCACCAACTTCCACACATAAAAATTGGCTAATTTGTGAGAAATAGGAAAAGCGTTTTTTAAATGTTACATTATTCATAATATACACACATAAGAAACCCCTGAAGAAAGCGCGAGCATAGGCGCTATCTTTCATAACATTATGGACCCACGCAGCAGTCAAGCACGTTTTTAAGTACCGTTGGCAGCAGTTCGTTTTGTAGTTCCTGTAAGAAGGTGACGCAGCAGAGAGCGCCACCGTAATGGTTTCCACTACGAGATATGGGAGTTATAAGGCCATTGCGTGTATGAGTGGTGACGAGCGGTGCGGCGGGGCTGTTGCAGGCCAAGACACGAGGATGCGGTTCAGCGTGGCGCCGCCGCCGGGCGACAGCGGCTTCGCGCAGTGGCGAGACGCCATGCGCATGGTGGCGCGCCTGCCCGGCGGCATCCCGCCCGAGTTCCGGCGACGGGTGAGTCCCAGTCCGCGGCCGCAGCGCCGCGCGCCGCCTGGTGGCACTTGAAGGTCTCATCCCATCGGGAGCCCCGATACATTTTTAGTAAGTCGTAAGAAAGCTCCTGATTGGATGACAATACCTCCAATCTCCCGATTGGATGACAGTGTCTCCAATCTCCCCGATTGGATGACAGTGTCTCCAATCTCCCCGATTGGATGACAGTGTCTCCAGTCTTCCGATTGGATGACCGTGTTTTCAATCTCTCGATTGAATGACAGTGTAGCCAATCTCCCGATTGGATAGCAGTGTCTCAAATCTCCCGATTGGATGACAGTGTCTCAAATCTCCCGATTGGATGACAGTGTCTCAAATCTCCCCATTTGGATGGTGTCGTCCATCTCGTAACCTTGAAGTGAAACTACGTTTAAATCTGAGTGAAGTACGTCGCCAGGTCATTAGCGTTGACGGCGGGTGATGTATGACATGTAAAATGATGTAAGCTGCTTAAGTTTTGTCACGTTTCGTGTATACATCTTTGTGTTCTACGATATCCAATACTGGAGAACTTACGAAACTGTAAAGTGATACAAAACCATAAAAAATTAAAATGTTAAATTCCACATTTTGTTACATATCATATCATAAATACCATGTACTTCCATTTATGATAACCGTCAAAGTCTATCGTTCAAAAACGCCAAAAATTGAAGATTTGAGTCAAATAAGTTTTTTATAATACCGTTAAAACATTAATGGTCCTCTAAGTTGTACTTATTCTTGCTCTGACTTTCATTGGTACAATAAAGCAGAGCCAATGGAAACGGAGGAGCAATGCCAAAAAATAAAGAGGTAAAAAAATAAGATTGAAATAGGAATATGAAGTAGGATAGGATGGAATAGGAGAGTAATAGAGAATAAAGAATAATTGGTATAATGATAAATAAGTTCAACAGGGAAAAGGATGGTATATGAATGAAGGTAATGATAATGGATTGTTACACATGCAATAGAGTAAGTTAAATAGTGATGAAAAGAAGAAGGGAAGACAGAGTACAATTCATACGAGAGATGCGATGTTTATGACATGGCCGAAACTGGGAAAATGAAGTTTCGCATAAGAAATACCTGGAGGGAGAGAAGAGAATAAATAAAGTTGAATGAAGAGTAAATGAAAGGATATATGAGGTTAAGTTACAAAAATTGTAAAGGAGGAGGGGAATAACTGAGAAAATAAAATGAAAGGAATGATTTGAAAGGAGTTTGAAATGACAAGTAGTTTTAAACGATCAACGATAATCTGTGTCTATTTGCAACGTAAGTGGAATAAATAAATCATGATATTAATTATAACATTCCACTTCTTTATTTCCTCAAAACTAGTAATTTGAAAGTGATATTTGTCCTAATTTTTTTTCATTGGTTTTTGACTTATAGATCCGTTTAAACGCATGGTAGATGAATTCATTTGTTTGTTTAGACACAATAGATTAAATTTCTTTTATTATAAATATTTTTATAATGAGATTACTAAGGAAGAATTTAGTAAGTACGTTGTAAATCCCACGTTTTATCCGAATGAGATATGACGAGAACAAAGAAAAATAGTTACGATCGTAATTCAACAATAAAACTCCTTATGATGAAAATTTGCTAACTTTCAACATATGTTTGCTTGGTATTCGTATTTGTGTTTTCTCACGGGGCTTATCTTTTCTTGGCCTTCAGGGACTACTCAATTTGGCAGGCACGGTGGCTTCTGCGCACTTACATAGTACCACGGTGCGTAATCATAACGACATAACTGCGCCGTTGTGTTTACGAGGCTTTTAGCGAGTCTAACGGGAGTCCACTTAACCTTAACTTAGTGGACCTTTGCTTCATTAACCACAACTACGCGAGTTTGAACTGTTTGTGTATTTATTCAAACATCGAAAATTTGATTATAAATGTATTCGTTGTGTTGTGACTTCACCTATATTGTTCATTAATAACTTTCTTTTACTTTCTCGCAAACTACTTACGTATTATAAAAAAATAAATATATATTATTCATAATAATAGAACATTTCTATATGCAGAAAAGGAAATGGAAAAATCTAAATAGCGTATACTGTTTAATCAACGAAAATCTCAGTGAAGTAAGAGATATATTATTTATTTTCTTCAATATTCACAAATAGTATACACTGAAACTCGTGGTGCTTAAACAGTACGTACTTCCTGGTCAGTATTTTCACGTCAAATGTTCTCTAATTTTTGAGAAATTGTTTTGACCTTATTTCAAAATCTGTTTAAGAAACACGTTACATTAAGGTAAAAATATCTATCTTTATAATTGTAGTTATAGGAAGACACAGAAAAATTTTGAACTTTTTCAATTTTCGAAAAATCAGAGTTATAACAATAATACGATTTGCACGATTCTCTTAAACGCCCTTCACATTATCCAAAAAAACAACAGAATGTAATAAAAAAACGAAGTCATTTTTTAAAATTTGGAGACGTCCCAGGAACTTCAGTAAAGTACCCTTGAAAACTTGCGACATTAACCAGATCTATTGCGAAATATCAATTTTGGAGAAAAACTGAACGGTTTAGCCGCTAGCGTTGTTCACAGAAGGACAAACGTTTGCCAGCAATCGATTTTTCGGTGTCAAGGATTCACAAAATATAGATTCTGACTACACCACGTGTTAGAGGATACTTTTATAAATTTAACAACTGGATTTATCCACTTATTTCTTACCACAGCCCTGAAGTAAGAATTTTTCTGCTGAAAATTCACAATTTTTTGCGCAGCATTACATAACTTTCTCTCTAATCCGTAGCGAGAAAATAAAATTGTTATATAGACTATTACACTCGCAAAACTAAAATCAATAGTGTTTAACTAAGCATATAAAACGTCCCTTTCTTGGTGGTGTACCTAAAAAAATCTATTGCTTTTTCTAACTGATTTTTCTTACCGCTTCTCCATGCCAGCCAGTAAGAAGCTGTGAACTCATCTATCTTAGGAAGCGGTGTGTATCGATCGCTATGTCGATTTGCAATAAGCCGCATATGTACTATTAACTCTTTGGTTTTAGCATGCTTTCAGTTATTTTAAATTTTTGGACGTAATTGGACATTACTTCATTCGCTCCTTGCTTCACGAATTAGGTCACGATATATAGATAATTTTCAATGCACTCCTGGTATTACCTATGATAATTTCACTCTTCAGAATGACTTTTGCTACTGTTCGACATACATAGGAAAATTTCAATGTATATTTTTTAGGGTTACCAGAGACCTAGTTCAATACTAACCTTCAAACCTAAATCAGGATCATTGGATCAAAAATTCAAGGCATTACACAAAAGATCAGGACATTTTTTATATTGATATACAGGTTCAAAGTATACTACTAGAGAAGAGATAACAATTTATATGTTAATACTGAACTTTAAGGCAAATTACATGACGATGATTGTAATTATTATGAATATAGCATTATGATCTATTGATTTACTCTAAATTTACCGCGAACAAATAATAATAAATGTGAGGGCAGCAGCAGAGAATCTGCTAGTAAAACATTGGGGGAAACAATTGAAATATTATAATACTGTAACGCTCGCTACAAAACATCTTCCGTCTAGTTACGAGTCGAGATTAATAGATAATATAGATAATATAAAGTGAGTGTGCCTTTGTGACAATGGCGAGATGTGGATAGCGCAAAATGGACAGCATCTCCTTAGGCTGGCAATTTCACAGCATATTTTGGCTCGCAGCTACTGCCCTACCAATCCTGCCAGGAATTATTTCAGTGGGGAAAATACAGCTGAACTAAATCTTTTATGTACAGCAAAGTTTTCAGAATGCAGAATATTATGGTAGCTTCATTGTTTCGGGATCTCTTTACCTCTGATTAAATATTCCACGTAGATATATAAGAATAAGACGTACTCTTTGCTCTTGCAGTAAGAAACATTTGAGTTTCACTCCTAATATCTCTCTTATTTCTAACGCAATTTAATTTTTTGTATATTTTATATTAAAAAATTAAAATAAAATTGAACATAAAATAGATTTTCATATTAAAAATCAGGTGTTTTGAAAACAAAACAGAACAGTCAGGAAAGTGTCCAAAACTCTGGACATGTCATCATCAATCAGGACGTCTGGTGTTCTTATTTTTTGATAGAAATAATTTCTATTTTTACAGAACCGTAATTTCATCTTGCTTGAACTCGTCTAAAAGAGAACAACAACGTACACCGTTTCTTATCATAATTTCCATTCATCTTCATCAGTAGTAACCTCGAGCATAAAGTTATATTTAAGTGTCATGAATGCACGCGAAACACCGATATACCGCGGAATTATTTAGGTTCGCCCCCGTGACCGCCATATGGCATTTCTAGAGCTGTCATGCGACGACCACAAAGGTCTTCTTAGCGACCAGGCATTAATGTCGAGTGTGAACAGCCATAACTGTCACCTCGAAATGGGGGCTTTTTCTCTGGTAGTACATCACATGATGACATTATTATCTGATTGTTCTCCTTAGCATGCAGCTACTGTTAATTGTGAATTGTGGATTAACTTGAACACTACCTTTTGTGTGTTTGACAAACGCGCATTCAGAATAAAAAGTTAATTATATTTAGGCATCACAAGTCGTTGCATTTTTGTGGAATCACCATAATTGTAAGTATATTTGCATTCTTCCACGAAACATTTTAATTTAGTTTATAAGTAGGAAAGTGACCATTTAATAGGAGGCATCTACTTCATAATCTGAGTCTCTTCGAAGAGATAAAATAAGAGCTGTTTTCACGTCGAAGAAATTGTGAGGTGGTTCCGAAGATATTTCCTTCTAAGCTCGTTCAATTACTGCTCATAATTAATGTACTGTAGATTGTGTGGGTTCATTTTAATTTATGTATTTTACAAGATAGCTAAAAAGACAGTTCGACAGAATTTGCAATATTATAATACGAATAGTACGTATCCGTTCCACATAAAAC